ACTTAACATAGAAAGGTATAAGACAAGAGCAACATATATTTGAAAAAAAAAACCAAAATCAACCAAACAAAAAACCTAAACAAAATTAATAAATCAAACCAGTCTCTAGAAGCTTATCAAAGATATCTTAACTGAAGAAAGAACTGATCAAGTATGTTAATTGGCCTTAAAAACTGATATATATACACACAGAGAATTATACATAAACCCCCACAATTTATAACACAGACATTAGTATAGGGTAAAAAAAAAAATTAAAAAGATATTCAACAGGAACATGTACTAAGTATACCTTTGGCACTTGGAGGTTCTTCTTTGGGAATCGGAATGCGCACTTTTTCTTCAGGTACAGGTCTTACAGGCACCTCAGGAACTTTAAAGGTATTAAAACATGTTTAAGTAATCTTTTTAAGGCTTTTGATTTTGTCTGAGATGAGAACAGACATGCAAAATACTACACAAAGACTATATTTAGCAAAAGATATATGCGAAGTGAATAGTAGTTAAGGAAAACTGGGTCAGGACAATCGCAGGCACAGCTACAGATTGGGCAGAGAAGAGATTCAGAGCACCCCTGAGGAGAAGGACTTGGGAGTGTTGGTTGATGAGAAGCTTAACATGAGCTGGCAGTGTGCGCTTGCAGCCCAGAAAGCCAACCGTATCCTGGGCTGCACCAAAAGAAGCGTGACCAGCAGGCCAAAGGAGGTGATCCTGCCCCTCTACTCTGCTCTTGTGAGACCTCACTTGGAGTATTGTGTACAGTTCTGCTGTCCTCAACATAAAAAGGACATGGAGCTGTTGAAGCAAGTCCAGAGGAGGGCCATGAAGATGATAAGAGGGCTCAAGCACCTCCCGTATGAAAACAGGCTAAGAAAGTTCTCCACTGAGCCTGTCTCTCAGTTCTGTTCAGCCTGGAGAAGAGAAGACTGCATGGAGACCTCATAGCAGCCTTCCAGTATCTGAAGGGGGCCTATAAGGATGCTGGGGAGGGAGTCTTCATTAGGGACTGTAGTGGTAGGACAAGGGTTAAGGGGTTTAAACTTAAATGGGAAGTTTAGATTAGATATAAGGAAGAAGTTCTTAAGGTCCTTTCCAACCCTAACTATCCTATGACTCTATGAAAACAGTATGAAAGTACAGGACTGGTTAAAGCACACATTGAAAAGATGCTGTACCTTTTGCTGGGGGAGCCACTTCCTTTTTAGCAACAGCAACTTTCTTTTCTGGAACAGGTTTCTTAGGGACTTCAGCCACTTTGGAAAAAATTGTCAAAGTGAGAGAGCTTTAGTCTTTTTGAACACCTTATGCAGATTTCAGTAATCCAAAATTGACTTATAGAACATAGAGCCTGAACAAGAGCTGACCACTGCAACACAATACAATGTACAAGCTTTTGGACATACAGTGGACTATATGGAAAAGACACTATGATACAGAACAAAATTCTGATGTCAACATTACTGCGCTATCACCTTTCATGGCACTCTGTTGAAGTAAAAACACCATGCCCTTTTCTGCAAAAGCCACACAACGCAAATACAAAAGACGAGTGCAAGATTATTAGGACAAAAGAAGGGCCAAAGCTGAGACCAATGCAAGTTATAAGCATAAATGAAAAACTGAAAGTATGGAGATAATGGAAATAATGCAAAATCAAATAATGCATATGGAGATAATGCAAAACCAAAGCCACATAGCGAGTACATTCATAAATATATTCAAGAAAACATGAAAAACAATATAATTAAAGACTGTTAGGGGTGTGTGTTTGTTGTGGTTTTTGGGTTTTTTGGGTTTTTGTTTTTTTTCCTTCAGTTTACTAGTGCAATAGAAATACCTTTAGCTGGTGGACCTGCTTCTTTTTTAGGAACAGGAACAGGCTTTCTTTCTTCTGGAATATGCCTCTTAGGTGTCTCAGGCACTTTAAAGAGATAGGTGGTGAACACTTAGGAGACAGCAAAAATATTTGGAAGATCACAGTAGGCTATTTTCAACACACTGGATAAGCAAACACTATATGTAAAAATATATGCTTTCTTGTCAAAGAGATACAGCATGCTCATCTCAAGAAAGCTATTCAAAGAATTATTTAAAACAACGATGAGGAAGAATGACACTTAGAAATGCAGTAGGGTTTGAAAATTTGAAAGCAGAGCCATAGAGAGATGGAAATATTTCAGTACTTATATGCTATCCTTTGGTAAAAAGTGGTACAGGTAGTTAACCTGGAAGTTCAGAAAAATGGAGCATGATACAAAGATTATATTAACCTTCAACGTGTGGGATCTCCAGTTCTGTAGAAATTACTTCTTCCTCCTCCTCTTCCTCTTCAACTTCCTTATGTGCTAAAATAGGAATTTTAAAGAAATTAAATTTGGAGATAGGAAATATCAATGTTTGTAGTGAATCTAAAAAAACTTTTAAGAAGATATTATGTGTGTCCAGTACAGAAGGTCACTGAAACACATAAGCTAATACGAAAACAAACAAAAAAAATCATCTAAAAAACCAACAGCATGTGCAAATCTCACCATGATTATTTGGTTAACTACAGGTTTGAACTGTTTGAAAAAATCTTAAATATTGATTAGTGTATTATTCTTAATCAGTCTACCTTCAACTGGGTAAACAGCTTCAAAGAATCTTTCTTCAACTGTTTTCTCATGCTCTGTTGGCTCTTCAAAGAAAAGCATTTAAACAATGTTAAAATAAAATAGTTGAAATGTTGACATTTATTAGTCTAAATAAAACTGAGGCTACGTAACACAATGAACAGAGAGAAGCAATACATATTGAAAACAAATATAGGTGTGTCTAAATATGTAATTTGCCATAGGTAACAAAAGATTAAAAGAAATCTATTAGGACTGGAAGATTGCTTTGATTTGGGTGCACAGATTTTTGGGTTTGTACATACCTGTGACATATGAATACTCTTCTTGTCTGTGGACAGAAACTGACATCTTTTCTTCTGAAACAGTCCATGTTTCTACTGTCGGTACTTTAAAAATAGGATTTTGTTTTAGTGTTTTGTATTCTAGATCCACATTAGTGGTAATCAGAATGTGAGTTCTTATCAAATCTGTATCTGTATTGCACATTTAAGTCTTAGACATATTTAGACAGTATTTATATTCTAAAATACTGAACACAAAACAAGCATTAAAACATAATATTTAGTATCTGTTAAAGACTAAGAGGCAGACATAATTAACCTGAAAATACAAAATAAATGCATGCACAGGCTTTTGGAAATAGTGTTTAAGAAGAATTGTACAGGCAGTTCTTCAAGGAAACTTTGGGGCTCTAGGCAAAAATTATGCTTATTAGGTAAGCATAGGCCAGCAGACAGAAGAGATGAAGAGAAAGTTAATTACACTGCGATATTCTCTAGGTTGTTTAAACAAGAATCAAAAGGCTGGCCACAGTCATATTAAAAACAGACTTTATGAAAGATAAAAGCATGGTACACATACTATTTAAACACTGAGACTAGTCACAACATGACTAGTACAATAGATCCAGATACATGCACACAGGCCCACATATTCACAAGAAGCACAAGAACACACAGGATGCTGCAATTGAAAGATGCTGATCTTTCTTTACCTTCCTTTTTCATAATTTTCTCTTCAACAATCATTGATGTAGGTTTTGGTGGTAGAACTTTCTTGGTAACTGTTGGCATTAAAATTTTGTTACTCAGTCATATATTTAGCAAAGATATCATAAGTCTAGCAATGATGTTGAAAATATCACAAACAAGACAAACATAATTAACTCAGTAGCTAAATTAGGCCCCTTGAAACCATGCATTGGACAGAAGGTAGAAATTTTTTATTGATATCTTCTAAGGAGGCTGGGTAATTCAGGGCATTTAGTACACAGGTTATAACTGACATATAACTGAATTGCAGCTGACAGACTCCTGATGCAGAATGGGAACTGCTGAACAAGAGGAGGTGGTCACCAGGGGAATAAGGGTGCATCTTTATTTCATAACTGAACAATTAACCAAGATATCCTGGTAGACATGTCAAGATGGAAATCTGAGAAAGGTGGGGATTTTAACTATTCACCTTAGAGTGAAACACACCATTACAACAAGTACAATTTTGCACTCACTTCCTTTCTTAAAGCATTGGTGGTTAGCATCTGCATTTAACATTTTCCCCTAAGAAGCTTTTCATTTTGCTTTTATACAATTCAGCAGAAGCTTTTATTACATGTTGCAAAGACTAAAAAATTGATAAGACCCATGATCATATGAAGACAAGTTATACGAAGATCAGCTAAGTAAGAATAGCCACTCCTTCCATGTAAAATGAAAATAAGGTAGTTAAACAGTAGTTACCCTCAGCCCGTTTGACTTTTTCTTCTGCAACCCTCTGAGTAGTTATCTCCACTTTTTCATCAACAGGTTTCTTGACAACTGTAAGTGATTCAAATATATTTATTATTTAAATAATCTTGCAAATCATTTTCTGGACACAAACCAGGTATAACGATATTTTTTTTTTTTTAGGATATTATAAACTTTGTGTATCCTGTGTGTTGTTCAGCACATCATTCACTGGTGGTGAACTTCATTGGTAAAGGCATTTGTGAAACAAGTGATCACACCCACCCTCCCCTAAGAGAAATACAGTGATCTAAATGGAGGTCACTTCTCAGAAGTGCAGCATTCATTGGGTCAAAAGCACCACCCAAGCCCAAGGCAAATATAACGTGAGTAGGAAAGATAATGAAAGCTCAGCTTAATTTTTTCAGCAATTCTTGGTTTGCTTCCACCACCAGTGCCACTATTCTCTCTCTGCTTGAAAATACGAGGACGGTAGAAGAGGAAAGGCTGCCATAAGCCTTGCTCATGTCACCGTCCAACATAAAGAGACTTTTCTCCTTTTCAAGGAAATGGGAATAACCAGCACAGGCCAGCTTGAAAAAGATGCATGAGAAATCTTAATATGCATGTTCCTGTTAGTTTTGCAGGAAAGTCATACCTTTATGAACTGTTACTTCTTTCTTTTCCTTCTTTTCAGCTGTAATTGTTGGTGGTTTTCTCTCAGGCACAGGCTTCTTAGGAACTTCAACAACTTTTAAAAAAATAACATTGTTTGATGATGAAAAATGCATTGTCTCAAGGCTTGATACACACAAAAATTATTAGTTGTGCCATTGTAAGTTTATGTATGCTTAAGAGAATTTTGAAGATCCAATTTTTGCAGTCAAATTTTCTGCTTATTTCCAAGTTTGATGGTTCCTCATCAGAGCTGAATTCTCTTCCTAGACGCATACATGTTACTACCACCCAAAATAGTTAGAGTATGTAGAGTATATAGAGTATACAGTGAGGGTGTTGAGGCACTGGAATAGGTTGCTCAAGGAAGCTGTGAATGCTCCAACCCTGGTGGGGTTCAAGGCCAGGTTGGATAGAACCTTGGGCGACATAGTTTAGTGTGTGGTGTCTCTGCTCATGGCAGGGGGGTTGGAACTAGATGATCTTAAGGTCCTTTCCGACCCTAACTATTCTATGATTCTATGCAAGGAATTGTCAAATACAGCTACTAACATCAAGAAAATAATGTGTGAAGCATTTCACCTAAATCAATTTTATCTAGAATACATGAAAATTGGAAGAAATATCCAAAACAAGTGAAAATGTCACATATACTTACAAACTACTAACTCATATTAGGTTTTAAAGATCAGGTTTTAAAAGTCCATTGCCAAGCAAATTATAGTGTATCAATTTCTATCTGCATTTACAACTCACCATACTGAAGTCCTTGACTTGTCATGAAGTGCCAGTTAAAACTTGGAAGCTTATTAAGGTTCTAGTTTTGTAAAAAAAAAACCCCTATAAAAACCAAAAACTAAAAAAGCTGTATGGCTTAAAATTTTGGGGCCTTAATAACAAGTATAAGAAAAGAGAATAAATAAATAGTATAATTAAAATACCTTCATGAATGACTCGTTTTTCTTCATAAGTCACTTCTCTTTTCTCATAAGCTTCTTCCCATTCCTCTTCCCCTTCATCATAGCCTTCTTCCTTGACATAATATTCATGGTCTTCTCCATAATCTTCTTCCCATTCTTCATAAGGTTCCTTGGGCTTTTCATATATTTCCTTATCTTCTTCATGAATCTCTTCTCTCCTTGCGATGGATGTTATTTTGATCTCTTTGGGCTTCTCTGGCAGCACCTCAGGAACTTAAAAATTGACAAAATAGATTATTAATCTCATAGCCTGGAATTTTCAAGACTGGAAATGGAAGTTTGTACTTAATGGAATGATTTAACACTCACAGTTTAAAGAAGTGACTTTTTTTAAGCAGTCCTAATTAGCTTGGATTTCAAAAGTGTACGTTTTTACCATAAGAACAAAAATCAAACTGATTTGATTGACTCAAGAAAATTTGAAACAAATTACCTTGTTTCCCCAAGGTAATGTTATGATTTTTAAATTAAAGAAAAAAAAATTAAAAATAAGGAAAGTTACCTTTTGGTGGTGGAACTTCTTCAGGACCTTTTTTAACCACCTTTTTGGAGACTTTCTTTACTGGAATCTTTTTTTCTGCTTAAAAAGAAAATATATATATATATATTTAAATTTAAATTAAAAAAAACCCAACCAACCAACAGTCATAATTAAACATGCACACACTGTCCAAATACTTTATGTATTCTTACCTGGCTTTTTCTCCTCTGGTGGTGGAACAAGAGGTAGAAGAATAGGAATAGGGGCAGCTTATAGGAAAAACAAAGCATATAGAATAAAATATGAGTAGGATGCTTTCGTGTAAATAAAGAAAAATCCTAGCACATTTGGAAAATCGATGCGGTGATTTTATCGAAGCATGTTGCTCATTCTGTTTACTGTAGCTGGAAGATTATATTTTGAGTGGAAATCACCAGTCTACCTTTATTTGAATTCTGACCCTTCTCAGCTTTGTTTCTTTACTGCCATTTCTCTCCTATCTTTGCTGATAGTAATTAATCTAAATATAAATCTTCCCCTTCCTGCTTCCATTGAAAGCATTTACTAAATTTTCCTGGAAATAAAACACAGGAGATTGAACTTCTAAGGTTCAAAGTAAACTCTTGAACGTAACAGAAATACACATAATGTTTGAAGTCTATAGGCAAATACCAGAGCCTGGGGAGAGACCATTTGCGATAGAAATACAACCTATTGTATGACTTTAAAAGATTTTTTTTTTCCTCCAAAGAGTAGCAATTCAGGCAGCTTGTTTAAAAGCTATATCTTTGCTAAAAAGAAGAAAATGTGAAAATAAAGATCAGAAAAAGAAAGTGGAAATAAGAGGAAGATGAAGTGAACAAGAGACTGATAGGAAAAGAAAAAAAAGACACAATCTTTTTAAAAGACAAGGCTTCATTCATACCATTATCTGTGTATAGTTTTCCACACAGCAAAACAAGCCTATCCAAGTCTAGCCTTGCTCATATTATATTTGTATAAAGACAATTAACTAGATCTTATCACCATGTAAGTTTTTTCTCTGAGGTTCCCACTGGCTTGCTGCTTTAGAGCAGATATAAAACAGCACTGTAGAACATGTATGTTAACCTACCTTCAGCTGCCTTTTGAGGTGGAACTGCAACCTTGGCATCAGGAACATCTACAAAATCAAAATGTTTAATTGAATTAATATAAAAAATAGATTTTAATATATT